CCCCCCCACAGAATCAAGTGACATAATGAAAATGAAAGGTAACTCACTTGCCAAGGGTAAAATGACAACATGTTTGAGCATCCATTATGAAATGGGCCTTTTCCTGGCTGGCAGTGAAGCAGACTGTGAAAGGCCCATGCAAACGCATAAACTGAAGTGTATACATTAAAAGGTACTCCTAGATCACCCTTCATGTTTGCTTTCGCCAGATTTTCTTCTCCGGTGCAGTCATGTGTAGTTTTGTTATTTGTCCCACCACCTACATTCTGGTAGTTGGTCCATCTGCATGAAAATATTTGCTCCCACAACTCCACTATGAAAGAATCATTGGGAGCTTTTGATGGGTGTAAGCTGTGAAGGTAATCCATGAATCCTGGCATCTGTCCTCCATGGACAGCAAACCCAACAGTGCCCACCAAGACTTGCCGATACTTTGCTTTAGAAAGAAGAGCAGAGGTTGACCACGATTCACTAGCTATCCAGATTCTACCAGTCACATTCTGTCTTGTTAACTCTTCTACAACAGGCAGAAAATCCACGTTAGAGGACACCACTACCACAACCTTAACTGTCGAGTTCTTGATTACTTTGACAATGTGAGGAGCATTTCTGTTGGCCTGACTGGTCATGATTGTCTCCGTGAAGGCTTCACAAGTACCAGCATTTATGAATTCTTGCTTGACCACCTGGAGACCCATTTGTCCATAGTAATTATCACTGGCTACAAACCCAACCCATGACCATCCAAAGTACAAGATTAGCTTAGCAAGTCCTTGGGACTGAAATGCATCGCTAGGTACGGTGCGAAAGAAAGATGGAAACATGTTTCTATTGCTGAGAGTTGGGCTGGTTGCGAAATAACTTATCTGCAGATAAATAAAAACAGTGAGGAACCCTGTTAGGTTGGATAGATCCAAATATCCACAAACAAAAAAGGTTTGATCTAAAGCAGTGGTTCTCAACCTGTGGGTCCCGACCCAAAAGTGGGTTGCAACCCACAGTTGAGGGGGTCCCCACATGCCTTGTGCTGCGCTAGGTAAGAGGCTCCTCAGCCTCCACCTAGCGCAGCAGTGTCAGTGCTAGATGGCGCTGCAGCAGCGGCAACCGGAGAGGATCAAAGAGATGGGAGCGGGCAGGAGTGAGGGGAGGTGAGTGCTTGATCACCAAAGAGCCTCTGTAGTGCAATGGGCACTACAGAGCCCGCACTGGATGCCACCAGAGATTCCCACTTACCACATGAGAGCCCACACAGATACTAGTTTTCGTTCATCCCTAAATTTTATCGTTGGGGTCACCACAACTTGGCAAAAGTTAAAAGGGGTCCCGGCCCTAGAAAGGTTGAGAACCACTGATCTAAAGTTATTTGATTCGGCATACAGTCATGGCCAAAAATATCGTCACCCCTACATTTCTGTCAGATAATGCAACACTTCGCACAGAAAATTGTTGCAATTACAAATGTTTAGGCATTCTCATGTTTATTTCTTTTGTTTGTATTGGTATGACACAAAAAATGGAGAAAAAAAAGCCAAATCTGACACATGGCACGCAAAACTCCAAAAATGGACCGGACAAAATTATTGGCACCCTCAGGTAATATTTGGTAGCACAGCCCTTGGAAAAAATAACTGAAATCAATGGCTTCCTGTAACCATCAATGAGATTCTTACACCTCTCTACAGGAATTTTGGAGCACTCTTCTTTCGCCAATTGCTCCAGGTCTCTCAGATTGGAAGTGTTCCTTTTCCCAGCTACAGTTTGAGATCTCTCCACAGATGCTCTATGGGATTCAGATCTGGACTCATTGCTGGCCAGTCCAGTACTTTCCAGCGCTTTGTCTGAAACCATTTCTGGGTGTTTTTTGATGTGTGCTCTGGGTCGTTGTCCTGCTGTAAGACCCATGACCTCTGACGGAGACCCAACTTTCTGTCACTGGGCCCTACATTGCACCCCCGAATTCTTTGGTAGTCTTCAGATTTCATAATGCCATGCACACAGTCAAGACATCCAGTGCCTGAAGCAGCAAAGCAACCCCAAAACATCAGTGACCCCCCCACCATGTGTGAATATAGGGACTGGATTTTTTTTTTAAAGGCCTCATTACTTTTTCTGGAAACAGTAGATTGATGGGCTGCACCAAAAAGCTGTCAGTTTGTTTCATCAAAAAGCTGTTAATTTTGTGTCATACCAATACAAAGTAATAAACACGAGAATGCCGAAACACTTGTAATTGCAACAATTTTCTGCGCAATATGAAAAGTCTGGAGAAATGGATGGAGGGGATAATTTTTTAAAATGTTCTGTTCTTTTTAAAGACGGCTGTTTTGGGGTATAGGTGTTATTAGATATGTTATAGAATAAACAACCCAAAAATAAACAGGCCATTAAAATGAATAGAAAGGAAGAAGAACAAGAAGGAGAAAGAGCAGGAGAAGGATATTTTTCTAGGGAAAAACAAGGCTTCCTTTGGTAATGCCAAAATGATTTAATTTTTTATGCAATCCATAGATAAAAATGTAACAAAATGTAGCGCACCAAATGTCCCATGCTGCTTAAGTTGGAGCTGTTCCCTGCAATACTTCTTTACCACCACTAAATGTCCTCAGTCCTCCAGGTTATATGACACCCAGCACCATTCAACCCACTTCCTTTGAGTCAAGGCTGTCATGTACCCACCATAGCCTCTGATTGGACAGTGATGAGCTTATCTCTCTGTCACTCTGCTCCTTCCTCCTATCACCATGTTCTTTGTCAGCACATGACCTATTTGGCTCCTTGTGCAGCTTCTTCCTCTCTGAGTCTTAGCTCTGCAGCACAGGCAATTACAAGAGGCTGCTACTACACCAAATTCAGGTACTTACACTGCTTGCATTTATTAAATACATTTAATGATCTCAGAGCTGCATTAATATCTGACTGGGGTTCAGCTTCAAAGCAGAATTCCGGCTACCTGTAAAACCAAAGAACACCCCCCCACCCACCACCATCACCACCTCCCAACTCCCAAATCTTTTTACCTTTCAGTGGCTTGAATTTCTGTTCAGCAATTGGATCCTGCCTAGCTGTCTGTCTGCAGAGGGGTGACACAGGCACTGGTCTCAGGGAGTCATTTAGAAAAACCAATGGCCAAGCACTTCCCACTTACTAAAGTCCACCACATGCTCTGTAAATGTAATGTTGCTGTGAATAGGAAAAGTGGGCCTGTTGGTGGCTGCATTGTTCTATCTCATTTTGGCTTCTGGACACAGTGGTCACAGGCTTCCTCCTGCTGGCCTGCACTGGCTGTCAATACAGGAAGCTCCAAGTGGTTGGAATTCTAACTATATTTAGGTGGCTACAGATCAACTTTAAGAAAAGTTAGTTTTTTTACCTGTGGATATCTGTAAAGTCCTAAGATTTGGGCCATTATGATGGAGCCTGCGGACCCAGAATCACCAACAATACCAGCAAACGTTCCTTTTCCTTCACACCGATAATTTGGAACACTTTCTTTTCCGCCAGATAAAATCCACAGTGTTCCTCCTGCGGCCCGTATGATTACAGAACAAGAGTCAAGGATCCAGTAGCCCAGGGTTATATTGGGAAGAAGGTCTGGGTTCTTGTTGATCTCTTCTATGGCAAATATCATGGCTTGCATTCTCTGGAATTTTTGAGGGTCAAGGCTAATGCATGGTAGGTAAAAGATTAAAAAATAGGTCATTTACAAAGCATAATACACATTAACAGGGTTATTCACAAAAGGATGAAGGGTTTGGAGAAGGCCGGAAAAGTGAACAATCTAGGACAACATAGCTGAACTGGAAAGTGAGCTGAATTGGAGAATTTTTCCAAATCAGCTATTTTGGCCTAGATTGTTCTCTTCTCCTGCCTTCTCCAAACCCTTCATCCTTTTGTGAATAACCCTTTAAGAATTGGGTTTATGTTTAACTTGCATAGTTAGTGGGGACCAGGAATCCAACATTCCTGGAGGTGTGCAGGATACAGAAAATTCTGTAACCATCGAAGCTCTTGAAGACAACGAAGGTGGACCAGGGCTACAATGGCAATGAAATCTTTCTGCTACTAGAGATTTACCTACTTGTTTATATTTGTTACATTTTCAGGACACTGAGATGTTACATAGTTACGTAGTATTTGAGGTAGAATAAAGACACTGGTCCATTCAACCTTTATGTGTGTGGTGCATGCTCATATGTGTATATGAGTCCTTGTGTGGTCTAAGTTTTTAGAGTACCTATACCCCTGTATGTTACAATCTCTTAGGAAGTTATCTAATTGATTTTTGAATGAATCAACACTCTCTGCTGATACCACTTTAACCACTCTGACCGTTTGTGTACCTGTCCTAGAGTGACGATGCTGCTCAGGACCTGTTCTAGGGTGGCAATGCTGCTCAGGACCTGTCCTAGAGTGACGATGCTGCTCAGGACCTGTCCTAGGGTGGCAATGCTGCTCAGGACCTGTCCTAGAGTGACAATGCTGCTCAGGACCTGTCCGAGGGTGCCAATGCTGCTCAGGACTGTCCTAGAGTGCCAATGATGCTCAGGACCTGTCCTATAGTGACGATGCTGCTCAGCACATGTCCTAGGGTGGCAATGCTGCTCAGGACCTGTCCTAGAATGACGATGCTGCTCAGGACCTGTCCTAGAGTGCCAAAGCTGCTCAGGACCTATCCTAGAGTGACAATGCAGCTCAGGACCTATCCTAGAGTGACAATGCAAGGACAGGAAGTGTGTTACTGGCAGGTTTACCAGGTGAAAGTAAAAGAGATAAAAACTAATGCAGCCACCACATCTGGTATGCTGCACTGTCTTAGTTTTTTTGGATTTGGGTTTAGATACAATTTAAATGTACTCACAACTGGCATTTGAGGACTTCTGGTTGTCTGGTAAATTTGGTTTCAGTATAGCTTCTCTCCATATGAACCGTGAAGGTGCCTCCAATCAGCAGGTCTCCTGGCTGGCTAAGGTACTCACCAATAGGCTCACTGGACAGGTGACAACCTTGTGGAGATCCCAGACACACAAAAATATCCACAAAAACAAAATACCTCACCCACATCTCACAGAACAGCACAAAGATTGTCCTTTCAGTGTCCAACATGAGAAGAATCTTTCAGTAGAGTATCGCTCTCCTTGTACAAGACTCGCCTTATCCGGGGGTCTTGCTTATGAAGGAGAAGACAACTTTGCATTGGTCAGTATTTTACAAACTGATTGTCACCGTCATCTACTCTGGAAAACATCTGTGACAATCTTTTAGTCTGAAGAACTAGAGGACTATCTTATTAGGAAGACTTTCTCAGTTCAAGATGCTATCTACCCAAGGCAACCGTCAACAGTCAATTCAGCCACTTTGGTGGTGGTTCTCAGTACACGTTAATTGTCCTTACTGAAAAGAACAAAAGCAAAATTGCTCATCTGTATTAGAATTGGAGTGTTGCAAGAAAGTCTTAATGAGAACTGAATGTCCAGAGAAAAATCAGACAACGGCAGACATTCGAAGTCAAATAATGTCCATCATTACCCCCAAAGAGCCAACCGATACCAGATAAGACCTACAGTGAGATGGCATGCACATACCACACACACCACCACACATACGGCTCAAAGCTTGGTAGACCAGGGTTTTATACACTGAGATAATTGGACGTGGGCCATTGGGGAATCTGATCAGATGGTACAAATTATCCTCACACTAAGAAAGGACACTCTCGGGGTAATGTTAATTTTATAACTGTCAAGGTTATATTTGTCATATATTATTTTTTCCTTTGTCACACCTGTGTACCTCAACAGATCTCTTCCTTTAAGGACCCATTCAGCTCAGAATGCAGTGCGTCACAGCACATGGGTTAAGCAAAACAAGCAAAACAAACGACACATCCTCTGCAGAAGACGTGTATCCAAACCTCTGTTATTATCCTTAGTGGTGAGACAAGTTGTTTTACATGCTGGTTTGTGAGTGTGCCATGATGCCTTTCTACTGTTTTACAGCACATGGGTTTTCGCGCATTGGGGTGCATTTGCTTAGGGCAGCCAATTCAACATAAATGGGATATAAAGCAAGGCACAAAAAATTGGTCACGCTTTATTTTTTTTTTGCATTGCACTGCAATGCACATTGTGCTGTCATGCAATTGTGTTTTGGAACTGCTATGAAAAACAGAAACATGGTCACCAGCACTCCAGGTTTTCTTCAAAACTAAATCCTTTTATTCATTCTCACAGGTCACATCACCATGCGCGGCAACGTTTCGGGAACCTGTCCGGTTGCCACGCATGGTGATATGACCTGCGAGAATGAATAAAAGGATTTCGTTTTGAAGAAAACCTGGAGTGCTAGTGGCCATGTTTCTGTTTTGCAAGTATTTGGCGGCGCCTTCTGCGGCCACTTCAGCACCCCCCCCGCATTGTATGGGGCTTCTCGGTCAGGAGTGCGGTGGCACTCTCTATTTGACTGTATTTAGAACTGCTTTGGGCGCTATTAAAAATTAATGGGATTGCAACATATGTACGTGTGCAAGGTGCTGCTGAGCTAGTGAGCTTCCTATGCGGGGGCTAAAGTAATAAAGTACTAAGTACTATCCTTGTCGCACTCCTTACCGATATGTCCCTTGTAGTGGGGGGTGCTTGCAGTGACTGCGGATGGCGCCGCGAATGTCAGCAAAATTGTAGAAATGTCACCAGCACACCAGTCCTTTTAGGATAGCAAAAGCTTCATTTATTGAAGTTTTTTTGTCATATAACCAACACTTCAATAAATGAAGCTTTTGCTATCCTAAAAGGACTGGTGTGCTGGTGACATTTCTACAATTCTAAAGTAATAAAGGTTACATAATTACATAGTATTTGAGGTTTGTGACAAAGCACCCCCTCCTGCACCCAGCTGAATCCCAGTGTCTTGAGAACAGTTCCCAATTCGGCATACATATTTAGTCTACCACCAAGGAATCAGGCCTAATAGATGGGATTGCATCTCAAAAAAACATTTATTGCATCTCATTTAGTTCCTGGCCTGGACAATCCCACATATAATAACACACATAACACACATAATAATAACACATAGAATAACACACATAACATATTCCAGGACTTCTCTAGAGTCTCTCCCATCCTCTGGAACTCTTTACCCCAACCTGTCCGTCTATCTCCCACCTTGACTGCCTTTAGGCATTCACTAAAGACTCATCTCTTCAGGGAAGCCTATCCCACCTCAAACTAATCACTGAATCATCAAGTTCTCAAACAATTCATCCCCACACAGCTACCTCCTCATATATCACTTGCCTCTCCCTTTTAGATTGTAAGCCCTCAGGGGCAGGACCCTCCTTACCATCTTGTCTTAAATTGTGTTGTGATTGTAATGTCTTCCTTATATTGTAAAGCGCTGCACAAAATGTTGGCGCTATATAAATCCTGTATAATAATAATAATATTCCCACCCACCATCACTTTTTTTATTATTTTAAATATTTGCATATTTACAACTGTTTTATTTTATTTAATTATTTATTTATTTATTGTTAAACCATCCCTGCACAGGTCAAACAAACATGGGCAGAGGTGGCAATTTAAATATTTAAAAAAATCCACAACTGTAAGTTGCAGAGGAATGTGACCCATGTAGTGTGTTTCATAACATAACACGCTGGGGTAACCGAAAAGAATAACTTCCCTGAATCATTCATGAGGAAGAATTGGTGAACACAGTCCCTTCCTCCAGTTCATAGTCTGAGCTGTCCCAAATCACCACATTATTACACAATTTTTTATGTATTTTCATTTTGTTAAAATAATTCACAGATTTACTTTTTTTTTTATACATTTTTATTATTATATTTTTATTTCTCAAAAGGCCGTCCCTGCCCAAGTCAAGGTGACACTGGCAGGGACGGCAAAGCAAACTGAGTAAACATATTGGCAGCCGGGAAAGATGCTTCAAGGGGGACCCAAGTGGCTTTTGTGAGACCATTACGTTTAGCATGAGACTCATTTTAATCCCGCTTCAGTCCTTGTGAGCCTTTTCCTGTAAGTCTTTCTCCAGGGACAAGAGGGGTAGGGCAGGCAGCAGAGAATATTAAGCATACAGTTCTACAGCCATAGGCTGCCCGCCCTTCCCCAGAGTGAAGCTTTGAAACCCAAAGCAACACTCACTCACTTTTGTCCCAGTTGCTGGAGCAAAGAGTTAAACTTGTTGTTCCCAAACCATCAATATGCCCAGCACCAGAGTGCCAACTTGGCAAAGCTGCTTGGCACTTCAGCTGCTTCCATACCAGCTGGAAAGGCACACTCTGCTAGCTGTCTCTTCTCTCTCTCTCCTGGCTGTCTCTCCTCTCTCTCCTAGCTTTCTCTCCTCTCTCTTCCTTGGCTGTCTCTCCTCTCTCTTTCCTGGCTGTCTCTCCTCTCTCTCCTAGCTTTCTCTCCTCTCTCTCCTTTGACAGTCTCTGCTCGCTCTCTCTCCTGGCTGTCTCTCCTCTCTCTCCCCTGGCAGTCTGTGCTCTCTCTCTCTCTGCTGGCTGTCTCTCCTTGGCCTCTCTCCTGGCTGTCTCTCCTTGCCCTCTCTCCGGGCTGTCTCTCCTCTCTCTCTCGCTCTCCGGGCTGTCTCTCCTCTCTCTCCTGGCTGTCTCTCCTCTCTCTGTCCCCCAGCTGCCTCTCCTCTCTCTCCTGGCTGTCTCTCCCTGCTCTCTCTCTTGTATATTCTCCAAATAAATTGCTGTGGGTCGCTAGAGTGTTGGGGTTTTGCTTAAAGAAAAGGTGGCAACCCTATTGCCCAGGCATATTCCACCGATGTCACCATTTAAAACCGCCTGTGGAAAAAACAATTCCGGCAGCAATGGCTAGGAAATACACACGCAGCCTGTGAGGCTGTAAAGAGGCCGCAGGACATCAGCAGCATTAAAATGTAACAAAAGATGATAAAGGTAAAAATCCTCCCCACTCCCAATTTTGCTACCTTCATGACACTCAGTAAGAATTTACTTCCATCCACTACTATCTTCTTTAAAAGACCCGCCAGTCCTACAAGCCCTTCAGTAATCTATGTCTACGCATTTGTCAGCACATATATTATTATCACAGATAAAGCACATTGTCGATATGGCTGCTCTGAGCTCACCCTTTTATAGTGAGAGGGATTGCTTATTCACAAGCCCCCTTATTGGCCCTTCTAAGCCAGATGATCTAAGTTCTAAGGCCAGGCAGTGCATTATCATTACATAGAGTTCGGTCTCACAGTTTTCCATATTAATTTTCTGAAAACTTGAACTTTGAATTTGCTGTATCTGCTGCTAACCCATGGTAGCAGTGAACCCAAACCCATCCCTAGCTATGCTGGCTGAAATACACACATTGGACATGGCTCTTTGGAGATGAAGGTGCTAGTGGTATCTCCATCCTGGTGTTCCAGGCAGAAGAGCTAAGAAGGTCCATGTGTGGAGTCACAAGGCCTTCACTCACCACTTGTCTTGTGGGGGACAGCTGCAGTTATTTAGCTCTAGGCCAAACACATTATCTTCCAGGAGCCAGGATCTTCATAATTCCTTCTAGGATGGGAGATTCCTGCTTTTTTCAGCTCCTAGGCAGACAGCTTACAGCACCATCTTCTCAGAGCCTAAGCCCAAGAGAACTTTACCACAGGGCCGGGAGTGTCAATACAAATCAAATTTCAGGCATGCCCTGCAAAATATTTTTGGCAAGCCACTCTCTAAAGCTCATATACTTCTAAAGTCATGCAGAGTCTGCAGATTTCTCAATACAACACAGAGATTGCTCAGGTCATTGTATTGAAGGCAGGTCCTCCCATTCAGAAACTGGGAAAGGATATGGTGAACCAAACAACAATTCCTTCAGAACAAAAAAAGTATGAATCTGAATTGTTCTTTTCCTAAAATCCTTACAATGTATACAGGTCACACATACAATACATACAGACATACACACACACACGATTGGAATTACACTTTCATAGATATAGCAATGATTACATTACTGTAGTCTTATAAAAGATGTCTACATTTTTGATTTTTTTTATCAGTTTTTCCTCATCAGATATTCTTTAGAGTTCATATCTGGTCGAAACAATATGATGAAACATTTTGGCAGGAAAATACAAGCCACTAGAGCCCAGCTGGAGGATAAGATGGCAAAGATCTCCGTGGCCACAATGTACTTCCCTCGTGAGCTGACAGAGGCCGGGATGTAGGATACCCAAACACTAAGGAAGGCCAACATGCTGAAGGTGATGAACTTGGCTTCATTGTAGCTGTCAGGTAATCTTCGGGCCAAGAAGGCAACAATAAAACTGATGGTGGCTAGGAGTCCAAGGTATCCCAACATTAACCAAAATGCAATAGGAGAACCTTCATTGCAACTCAAAATTATCACTCTTGATTGAGTGTTGGAGTCAAACTCTGGGAAAGGAGGTGAGGAAGAAAGCCAAGTCACACAGATGGATACTTGGATTAGTACACAAAGGACAATGAGTGAGTAGGACATTCTTACACCAGTAAACTTTCTTAATTGAGTTCCGGGTTTGGTGGCTTTGAAGGCAATGACAACCGTAAGAGTTTTGGCTAGAACACAAGAGATACACAGTGAAAAGGCCAAACCAAATGTAACTTGACGGAAAAGGCACATTTCTGGTTGCGGGTATCCAATAAACACCAATGAGCAAAGGAAGCAGAGGCACAAAGATATGAGCAGAAGACAGCTGAGAGACCAGTTGTTGGCTCGCACTATTGGTGTGGCCTTGTAATGGATGAAAACTCCAAGGATTCCAAGTGGGATGACAGAGGAGACTATGGCAATGGTAGCCAAGTTAATGCCAATTGCTTCACTGTAGGAGAGGAACTCAATGGTTCTTGGCATGCATGCATCTTGTTGGAGGTTAGGCCACATATCCCAAGGGCAAGGGTGGCATTTGACAGCATCTGGAGAAGAAAGTTAGTGTTAATATTGTCATAAATTACAGCTTTGCTGGTATAGACATTCAAACATAATCTTATAAAGCACCTGTTTCATTGGAGATTTGTCCCTGAGGACATGGCACACACTGGAAACAGCAGATGGGTTTTCCAGAAATGGTCACCTTCATAAATCCTGGTGGACAGCTAGAGCTGCACATTGATGGTGGAACCTTAATGAAAGTAAATATGTTATGGAGAAAGAAAGCCGAGAAATTGTACTAGTCTGATTCTAGGTCCTGTCTTGTTGTCAGTCTATAAAATACTGATACAGTATTAGGAATGTATCATGCAATTTTAGGAAAAGTACTTACAGAACACAGTTGATACATCAACTGTATGCCTCTTTTGGGAAAGGCTTGTACCATTAATTTACATATAACTTACATGAAATATAGTCCCTTTTTGCTCTGGGATTCTAAGCAGCATTGTGTGCCCTGCTTGCCGGGCTACAGAACACCACCTATTCCCTGGCCCTCTCTGTCCCTCTTCACATAATGCAATGATTAGAAAAGCAATGCTGCTGCTTTGACTTACAAGAACCTGCTCACATGCTATGTGCAGGGAAAGGGCTCTTGAGAGATGTAGCTCTGGGGGGTGTAGCAATGTCAGTAGGAACTGACCCTTCAGAAGCTACCTCTACAGGAACAAAATAAAAATAAAAATGCGGGGCAAGAGCAAGGTTTAGGGTTGAATTGGGTAATACTTAGGCATTCCCTTTAAAACCAGTCTACCAAACTGCATACTTCAGGATGAATCATGTGCAGCAGTGCCTGGAGTGAGAGTAAAAGGAAAGGATATAAACACAGCAAAGCCACTTCTAACCACACGTGCACAGTTTTGTGTAGTACCCTAATATAACTGAGGTTTAGAATATTCAGGCCAGTGTGCTATGTGTAGCCATCTGGGTGGGATTCAGTTTTGTTGACAGCTTCCAAAATGTATACAAAGGAACAGATTGTTTCCGCAGTGGGCTGTGCAAGGACCCAGTGGGGAGAGAAAAGGGGGCTTTTTAGAAACCAGTCCAGACCTCGTATATAAAAGTCTTAGAAAAACATTTATTCACTAAATTGTTGTATACATAGTTTAGAACCAAGAAATAAAGTACAAAATCATGTCATCAATAAAAATATATATCATTAATAAAAATACATATTGAATATGCAGGTTCACCGTTAGGTGACAGTACCGTGCGGTTACGAGATATACGGTAACTTATTTTCAGATGATGTAAACGCTCCTATAGGTCCCTACATGTTTCGCCCCCAGAAGGGGCTTCTTCAGGGGAAAGAAGGCAGATCTCCGGGAGAACTGTATTCATGTATGTCCTCGCCAGATGTATAATCAAAGCAACAAAAACTAGATGACATGAAGCAGCTGCAACGAAATCATATAGGAGGTTGATTCTGTCGAAGGTAAAACGCCATGAACAACAATAGATGGAGGGATCGCGTTGGAGAACACTATAACGCTATACTCCTCAGGGATCACGGGCAGCCGGTGAGGTACACTTAGGGGTCATGAAGTTCTATTAAGGGGACATATATAGACCAGATCTCTTGCCGCGTGTGAAGTTACTGTTTGTATCCCTGGAACATAAAATGTAGTCTGTGAACATAAACTAGTTATTGAAAGTGCAACAGCCAACCTTTTTTTTAAAGTGAACCTGTATTTGCCCATGCAGGATGAAGCGGTTCTCTCACCACAGCAGCACATGTTAAAGTGACACTAAACTCAGAAGTTAAATCTTAAAAATGCATTCAAGTCCCTTTACTATTAACAACAATGTATTTTATTTGTGTATCACTCGGCTGTAGATCCTCCAATCATCTCTGAATTGGTGCTGACAGTGTCCTTCCTTCTGGAGGGGGGCGACTTTTGTTCCCCATGATCCCTGTGTGTGTTGTAAAGTAGTCACCGCTCCAAGCTCGCTCCTGTAATGGACTACAATCTCAATACAAAAATTAGTAAACAACGTGAGATTGTAGTCCACCATGGGAGTGATACCCATAATGAGCTCCCAATGAGTAGGCACCAGGTAAAATGTGGACCTAGAAATGAAGGCTTTATCCCACCTAAGCCCCACAACATCTACGGGTTTCAGGACCCAGAACAGCACTTATAAAGTTTGTTTTCTGCACATCAGCCATGAACCCTGTAGCCCCTCACCAAGTGTATGTGAAAAACCCAAGGTGAAACATACACACCGTCCATAACTCTGCCAGCCTGTGCCTCACATATACTGTATATACACAAGCGCTAAAACAATATTGATATCAAATAAAAGTAACAATTGGTTCCCGCAGGCTGAACCACAAATTCCCCCTCTAGTTCTCTCTAATGCAGATGGGCCAGTCTATGCAGACATGACGCTGCGACCCACTGCAGAGGGTGTCGCAACCCACTTTTGGGTCGCGACCCACGAGTTGAGAACCACTGGTATAGACCTAAAACAAGATTGCTACAATAACATTGACCCAGAACCAATTTCCCTTTAGCTGGTATTTGACCAAACCGTCTGTTAGTGTTTGTATGACTGTGGAAATAACAACGTATTGAAAGTTCCTCAGGAACAGGGAAAGATGTACATTGTTCTTCTTATTGTATAAACCATTACCTAATAGCTTATTGCTAGACAAAATAAATGTTACAATTCTTGAAACAGATGCATCTGCATAACTGGAGTTAATTTTTTGTTTCAATCTGGTGCATTCCTACCTTTGTATTGTTATTCACCCATACCATGGCAGCATGGTCTACACTCATGGTGTTCCCATCTGCGGAGCTGGAGTCATAGCTTCCTACTATAACCTGCTCCAAGGAGCCAGTAGAGCTTATCTGCCAGTTCACAATATCATAAAGGGCTGGAGGATCACCATTTTCATCAAAAAATATGTTTGTATTGTCTTTGGTCTGGAACCTTGTTGTTTTCATATAATGGAGGAGCTGGAAGAAAACATTAAGAGGCGGATTTAAAGCAAAACCAACCAATGAGCAAAAAAAAATCAAATGACTTCATGAAAAATAGAAGTAACATACTTGCCAAGGGTGAAATGATAAAATGTTTGCACATCCATTACGAAATGGGCCTTTTCCTGGCTGGCAGTAAAGTAGACTGTGTAAGGCCCATGCAAACGCATAAACTGAGGTGTACACATTAAAAGCTATTCCGAAATCAACTTTCAGCATGGAGTTCTCAAGATTTTCTTCTTCAGTGCAGTAATGCGTTGTTTTGTTGCTTGTCTCATCATCTAAATTCAGTTGGTTGGTCCATCTGCATGAAAATATTTGCTCCCAAAACTCTACTATAAAAGAATCATTTGGAGCCCTTGATGGGTGTAAGCTGCTAAGGTACTCCATGAATCCCGGCATCTGCCCCCCACGGACCGCAAACCCAACAGTGCCCATTAGGATTTCCCAGAACTGTTCTTTAGCCAGAAGAGCAGAGGTTGACCACGATTCGCTGGCTATCCAGATTCTCCCAGTCACATTCTGTCTTGTTAACTCTTCCACAACTGGCAAAAAGTCTGAGTTGGAGGCCAACACTGCCACAACTTTGGCTGTCGACCCCTTGATAACTTTGGCAATGTGTGGAGCATTCTTGTTGGCCTGGCTAGTCACTATTGTTTCAACAAAAGCTACACATGCACCAGCATCGATTAACTCCTGCTTGACCACCTGGAGACTTAGTTGACCATAGTTATTATCGCTTGCTAGAAAGCCAACCCACGACCAACCAAAATACAGGATTAGGTTGGCAAGTCCTCGGGACTGAAATGTATCACTAGGTACGGTGCGAAAGAAAGAAGGAAAGATCTTTCTGTTGCTGAGAGTTGGGCTGGTTGAGAAGTAACTTATCTGTGGATTGAAAATACGTGAGAGGGACCCCATTAAGTGTGAATATTTGCACATATTGCATAAACAAAGAAACTTTGGTCCATGGCGATTTGGTTACACCTATGTTTCTATAGGATGCGGTGTACACTAATGAACATCTAATTTCTTGGATAGCCTACCAACACCTGATAAAGAAATTTAAAAAACACACACCATACTTCCTTACACCCAGTGGGCTTACTTAGGCAAGGGTGACATCACTGTACCTCATTGGAGTATCCCGGAAAAACTGCAGATCCCAAATCTCCTAAGAAAACACCTTGATACTGTGTTGGAGAGCTTTCTTACAAAATTCCAAGGATCCTGGAAGAAGGTCAAAGAAACCATCCTCACATAGGAAAGCATGCTAGAAGCTGGGATGTAAGGTGAGTATTTTTTTGTTACATCTTTCTTTTAGTTGTATTTTAATGTATACTACAGATTGTTTTTCATAATAGGGTGGGGTGTGTGTGTGTGTGGTGGGGGGGGGAGAGAGTGCAGGCCTACCTGAGCAGATTTGGTGGGGGGGGGGGGGGGGGGGGGTGATTCTCAGATAAGCTGACCTTGCATTTTCATGGTATAGTTCTAAAGCATTTAAATATATAAATGTAGGCTATAATGTGAGGGGTAAATCTCAGCATGATTATGTGTTTTAATGTTTCCAGATAATAGCATTTAAAGCTGAAGTCTAGCCTTACCTTCTTAAGCTGGTCATATACCTATTAATTATCTGCAGATTTTCTGTGGTCGGATGGAAAAAGTGCAACAGATTCCTCCATCTACACTTAACTATGTGGATGGAGGAATCTCCCACTGGGCCACGCTTCAGTATCTTGCTAGTCGGCCCCGCTGGCTCTCAAAATACCCGAACACTCTGATTGGATGCAGGCATTGTTCAGCGGGGCCGACTAGCAAGATACTGAAGCTTGGCCTGTTCTAAAGCATTTAAATATATAAATGTAGGCTATAATGTGAGGGGTAAATCTCAGCATGATTATGTGTTTTAATGTTTCCAGATAATAGCATTTAAAGCTGAAGTCTAGCCTTACCTTCTTAAGCTGGTCATATACCTATTAATTATCTGCAGATTTTCTGTGGTCGGATGGAAAAAGTGCAACAGATTCCTCCATCTACACTTAACTATGTGGATGGAGGAATCTCCCACTGGGCCACGCTTCAGTATCTTGCTAGTCGGCCCCGCTGGCTCTCAAAATACCTGAACACTCTGATTGGATGCAGGCATTGTTCAGCGGGGCCGACTAGCAAGATACTGAAGCTTGGCCCAGTGGGAGATTCCTCCAGCCACACAGTTTAACGTAATGGAGGAAGCCGTTGCATTTTTTCCATCTGACCATAGAAAATCTGCAGATACTCTACAGGTATATGGCCAGCTTTACACAGTTGTAAGCAGGGCCGGCCTTAGGCCTTTAGGCGCCCTGTGCGAGAAAGCGTTACAGCGCCCCTCAGTGGCCATACCCTTTAGTGGCCACACCCCTGTAACCACACCCATTTTAAACAATATCCGCACCATTAAATTCCCACAGGACGAGCTGTGTCGGCCGCACGGCGCCCTTGTTGCCATGGCACCCTGTGCGGCCGCACGGCTCGCACACCCCTAAGGCCGGCCCTGGTTGTAAGGGCTCCTGTCGTGTACTGAAATTGATTTCTCTGCTTTCACTGCATACTCTAAGACTGGATAAAGGGGAATGTTTTTTTCCATGTTTTAGTTTTATCAATTTATGAACAATTAAAGTCACTTTTGCCCTTTTGGTTTGGTGCCCTTGAGTTCTAAACATTGGCTTTCACTCTTTGTGCAGGTTAGCTGGTTTTGTAACCCCCCGTTTCCCTTTTCTGTAGGCAGCCTCTACTTCCCATCAAATGCCCCATGGGCCACAGGCAGCCCTCTGGCACTCTGTGAGCAACCCACCATCTGTAATTGATTGGCAGAGGAGACTGAAGTGATTGATGGAGGAAGGGGACAGCTGCTCCTGGGGGGAGGGGGGGGCTGCGACACAGGGCAATTGATGGCTAGGTGGGGGTGCTGTACATTGTATATAGAAGCACTATGACTTAATGATGGTGGTGGTGCTGGGAATGATGTGAGGAGCTGCTGTAGCTGACTGGGGAGGATGTGTGTGTGTGTATGTGGTGGGGTGGTGGG